TAAGTAATTAGACTTCAGAGTCTGTGAATATACCCATGAACATATATCTTGGGTTTTCTTTACATTCAAGCCACACATGTGGTAGCAATTGGTCTATCCATCCTCCCCCATCTGTGTAAGAGATTATGTTTCACTAACTAGAGAATTGTAAAAATCTATTTCATACATGTTAGGTTTACAAGATTTATACTGTAATATTTCTTGATTACGATATTTATATATGAGATAACTCTTATTAAGATTACTTTTAGAAGAATATATATATATATATATACAGTTGCAAGAAAAAGTATGTGAACCCCTTGGGATTACGTGGCGTTTTGCATGAATTGGGCATAAAATGTGCTCTGAACGTCATCTAAGTCACAACAATAGAAGAACACAGTCTGCTGAACATAATACTATGGATGTTGCCATGGTTTAATTGCACATAACATGTAAACATTCACAGGCAGGGAGGAAAAAGTATGTGAACCTTTGGACTTAATAATGGTTGACCCTCCTTTGGCAGGGGTTCCGTAGTGCAGATCAGACCTGCACAACGATCTGGAGTCATTTTGGACCACTCCTCTTCACAAAACTGTTTCAGTGTAGCAATATTCTTGGGATGTCTGTGTGTGAATCGCTCTCTTAAGGTCATGCCACAGCATTTCAATCGGGTTGAGGTCAGGACTCTGACTGGGCCACTCCAGAAGGCGTATTCTGTGCTGTTGCAGCCATTGTTTTGTTGAATGACTTGTATGCTTTGGGTCATTGTCCTGTTGCATCACCCATCCTCTGCGGAGCTTCAGTTGGCGGACAAGATGGTTGTACGTTTTCCTGCAAAATGTCTTGATAAACTCTGGAATTCATTTTCCCATCAATGACAACAATCCGTCCAGGCCCTGAGGCAACAAAGCAGCCCCAAACCATGATGCTCCCTCCGCCATGTTTCACAGTGGGGATGAGGTTTTGATGTTGGTGTGCTGTGCCTTTTTTTTCTCCACACATAGTGTTGTGTGTTCTTCCCAAACAACTCAATCTTGGTTTCATCTGTCCACAGTTATATTCTGCCAGTAGTGCTGTGGAACATCCAGGTGCTCTTTTGCAAACTTCAAACGTGCTGCAATATTCTTTTTGGACAGCAATGGCTTCCTCCGTGGTGTCCTCCCCCATGTACTCCATTCTTGTTTCATGTTTTCTTTATTGTAGATGTGTCAACAAAAATGTTAGCATGTGCCAGAGATTTCTGTAGGTCTTTAGCTGACACTCTGGGATTCTTCTTTACCTCATGCAGCATTCTGCGCTGTGCTCTTGCAGTCATTTTTACAGGATGATCACGCCTAGGGAGAGTAGCAACAGTGCTAAACTTTCTCCATTTGTAGACAGTCTGTCTTACCGTGGACACATGAACATCAAGGCTTTTGGAGATACTTTTGTAACCCTTTCCAGCTTCATGCAAGTCAACAATTCTTGATGGTAGGTCTTCTGAGAGCTCTTTTCTGCGAGGCATGGTTCACATCAGACAGTGCTTCTTGAAACCAGTAAACCCAAAACAGGTGTGTGTTTTTTAAGGCAGGACAGCTGTCAGCAACACATCCAATATCATCACACTGATTGGAGTCAAGGTTGGCTCACTCCTGGCTCCATTAGCTCTGGGAGAAGTCATTAAGCTAGGGCCTCACATACTTTTTCCTCCCTGCACTGTGAATGTTTACATGTTATGTGCAATTAAACCATGGCAACATCTAATGTTTGTGTAGTATTATGTTCAGCAGACTGTGTTCTTCTATTGTTGTGACTTAGATGACGTTCAGAGCACATTTTATGCCCAATTCATGCAAAGCGCCACGTAATCCCAAGGGGTTCACATACTTTTTCTTGCAACTGTATATATATATATATATATATATGTGTGTGTGTGTGTAATACATCTAATTTACTCTGATTGATGGAATGTCTAGACCAGGGGTGGGCAAACATTTTGACTTGAGGGCCGCAATGGGTTCATATATTGGACCCGGGGGCCGGACCAAGAGTAGATGAATGATGTGTATGTGTCATCCATAGTAAGTATAGTAATATTCCCCCATAGTAAGCATAGTAATTCATCCCCCATATAGTAATTCATCCCCCATATAGTAATTAATCCCCCATATAGTAATTCATCCCCCATATAGTAATTCATCCCCCATATAGTAATTCATCCCCCATAGTAATTCATCATCCCCCCATATAGTAATTAATCCCCCATATAGTAATTCATCCCCCATATAGTAATTCATCCCCCATAGTAATTCATCCCCCATAGTAATTCATCCCCCATATAGTAATTCATCCCCCATAGTAATTCATCCCCCATATAGTAATTCATCCCCCATATAGTAATTCATCCCCCATAGTAATTCATCCCCCATAGTAATTCATCCCCCATATAGTAATTCATCCCCCATAGTAATTCATCCCCCATATAGTAATTCATCCCCCATAGTAATTCATCCCCCATATAGTAATTCATCCCCCATATAGTAATTCATCCCCCCCCCATATAGTAATTCATCCCCCATAGTAATTCATCCCCCATATAGTAATTCATCCCCCATATAGTAATTCATTCCCCATATTAATTCATCCCCCTATAGTAAGTCCCCCCTGTGTCAATTCACTTACCTTTGCTCCGCACGTTCCTCTCGCCGTGTTCTCGCGCCATTCCGGTGTAGCATGAAAATCTGTCCCCCTCAACGTATCTGCGCATGTGCCAGTTTCCGGCATTAGCAGACGATTGGCGATCTCCGGCACATGCGCAGATACGTCGAGGGGGACAGATCCTCATAGGAGACAGATTTTCATGCTACACCGGTCTTCAGGGCGGACTGTGAGAGGAGCCTAGCTCCGCGGGCCAGATTAAAAGGTCCGCCGGGCCGTATACGGCCCGCGGGCCGTAGTTTGCCCATTGCTGGTCTAGACCTTCTTAGGTTACACTCAGACTTTAGGAGAAGTAGACTGGAGGTTTGTTATATATACACATCTGTTTCCAATTATCTTGGTGGGACTACAAGGAACACAAGAGAAGATCAGCCCATTTTTAGGAGATGGTGGGGGCTGGATTGCTCTTTTAAGAGCAGAACAAAGACTTCTTAAGGACACTCTTTGCTAGAAGCCTTGATGCGACACACACACACACACACACACACATACACACACACACACACATATACATATATACAATCTTATTATCAAGAACTTAACTATATTTTTTGGACATTATTTAAACATTCTGTATGCCAATATTTTATTTCTAATTTTAAGCAACGTTATTATTAAATCATCTTTTTTGAGATTATGCAAGAAGTGGAAGGACTTTCTATCTGAACATTTCTCATCAATACAAGTTAATAAAATTTTGAGACAATACGATATTTTACAAACATCTTCCTTCACACTCAAACAAATGCCAACAGATTGCATGACGCACCCCGGCCCTTGTCAATGTTAGGAATAGGAACTCACACAGTGGCTCCCCAGGAAGCAAGAACATTTTTTTTCTTCTAGTCCATTTTTTTTTTTGGCCTGTATTTCCAGATTCAATCTGATCCAACTTTACCTTTGTCAGCATTGTCATTATTGAACCAAAGCATGCACAAAATATTAACCTGTTCACCTTCCATTTTCTCATTTCTAGCATCTTTACTGGCATGGCCACAGTTGGCATGAATGGTTTGTTCCCAGTTTCTGCATCTATGGACACCGTTGGTTTCCTTTATGTAGACACAACAGGTAACAGAAATGAAAGCCTCTTCGGTAACCTTTACTTCACCACCATTTTGGTTTCTTCCATCGTGGACTACTACGTCATTAATACTTTGTGCAGTAAGCTCCCTCTCTTGCATAGACTCATATGTTTATTTCTGTATATTGTGTGAATGCTTTTTATTATTTTTTCCAGTTGTTTCTCGAGCTATATGTCTTTATATTTTTTTGGGCAGGGACGTGAGACCCACTTTATCTTTTCAGCCAAAAAGAGCTTTGTATGGTGTTCTTCCCAGAATAAAATGCATAGCTCTTCATACGTCGGATGAAATATAGCCCCACACTCAATCAGCCAGTTTTTTTTATCTTGCATCCCGCTGATACAAATGATGGAGCACTATTCCTCCCCACTGACACCAATGATGGGGCACTATTCCCCCCACTGACTGATGGGGCACTATTCCCCTAATGATGGAGCACTATTCCTCCCACTGACACCAATGATGGAGCACTATTCCTCCCACTGACACCAATGATGGGGCACTATTCCTTCCACTGATATCAATGATGGGACACTATTCCTCCCACTGATACCAATGATGGGGCACTATTCCCCCTACTGACACCAATGATGGAGCACTATTCCTCCCACTGACAGCAATGATGGGACACTAACTGATATCAATGATGGGAGCACTATTCCTCCCACTGACACCAATGATGGGGCACTATTCCTCCCACTGACACCAATGATGGGGCACTATTCCTCCCACTGATACAATGATGGGACACTATTCCTCCCACTGATATCAATGATGGGACACTATTCCTCCCATTGACACCAATGATGGAGCACTATTCCTCCACTGACACCAATGATGGGGCACTATTCCTCCCACTGACACCAATGATGGGGCACTATTATTCCCACTGATACCAATGATGGGGCACTATTCCCCCCACTGACAATAATGATGGGGCACTATTCCCCCCACTGACACCAATGATGGGGCACTATTCCCCCTACTGACACCAATGATGGAGCACTATTCCTCCCAATGACACCAATGATGGAGCACTATTCCTCCCACTGATACAAATAATGGGGCACTATTCCTTCCACTGACACCAATGATGGGGCACTATTCCTCCCACTGATACAAATAATGGGGCACTATTCCTTCCACTGACACCAATGATGTGGCACTATTCCCCCTACTGACACCAATGATGGAGCACTATTCCTCCCAAATGACACCAATGATGGAGCACTGCTCTTCCCACTGACACCAATGATGGAGCACTACTCTTCCCACTGATACCAGTGATGGGGCACTATTCCTCCCACTGACACCAATGATGGAGCACTATTCCCCCTACTGACACCAATGATGGAGCACTATTCCTCCCAATGACAACAATGATGGAGCACTGCTCTTCCCACTGACACCAATGATGGAGCACTACTCTTCCCACTGATACCAATGACGGAGCACTATTCCTCCCACTGACACCAATTATGTATTTTTTTTTTACTCCCTCAAGCCCATGGCACTGTTTACTCCCATCGATACCAGGGCATTTTGTACTCCCACTGGCCAAAGTCTGGCCTCCGTAAAGTTTGAAGGGCCGTAAATTGGCCCTTTGTTTTGAAACTTTTAAGACCCCTGGTCCAAGGCAACCCTCACCACTCACAAAGCCAGGGTGGTGTCTTAAGAGCCAATCAGAACATTGAAAATAATCTGTGTATTTTAAAAAAACTGACTGGTGGAGTGAGGGCTTTATTTTGTCCAGCTTATGAAGAACCAGGCCTTTCATTCTGGGATTAAGCAAACACCATAAGCAGCTCTCTTTTGCTGCAAAGCTAAAGTGCTATTTGAAAGGATCTAGATAACTTCCATTTTGTTGATGTACGCCATTTTAAGTATTAAGTTAGCTTTTTGCAGATATATTAGAAGTTTAATGAAACTGTTTTAGTTGTTCAAGGATGTATCAACAGAAGCTAACATGACCCTGACAATGTCTTTGTCTGGCTGTTTCTCAGAAAGTTAGCCAAAACAATTTGTACCAAGAAATGTATATGTTATGTTTCATGCAGTCCGCTCATAATGGAAATTTACAAGTTACAGTTTTGAAACTCGCTCCCCCCCCCCCCCCCCCCCCCCCCTTATTTTATCTGTAGTCTATATAATCTTACTAATGTCTAATGAACTTTGAACATCTCTGAACATAAGCTGCCGTTATTTTCCGTGTTCAAGGGGTGTTTCCCAGAATTCTGCTGATAAACCAGGAATCTCTCCACAGACCGGGGGTCTCTGAGGGGAAAAGAAAATCATTCCTTTCACTATTCACGTATCGTATATTCCCTGGATCCACTTCCCCTGTCATTATTACCTATAAATATTTGTTTGTGTTGGAGACCATGCTGGACTGACTGGATTGGTCACTGGTCCTGGATGGGTATTCATGTGGGCAAATAGGAAGGAAATCCTTCCAGTGGATAGTGCCCAATAATAGATAGTGGTGATGGGCCCTCTTGGGGATTGGGCTGCTGCCCTTTCTTTGTGACCTTACGGTCATTTCAGCATGTGGACATGGATAAAAAGAAAGGAGCACCCAGTTTCCAGAGAAGTGCAGCTTCTGAAGTATGGTTCATAGAGGTTAATTAAAAAGGAGCAACACGTACATCAAGCCAACCCATTTTGGTGGAATAGACTCCCCCTTCTTCAGGGATGTTGCTGCATACTATTTAATGAGAACAATTCTTACGAAAGGTTATGTTCAAATGACAAGATGCAGCCTTTATTGCATGGGCAAAATGTATTCTGCTATGTGTCTTTGGTAAAAGATCCCAAAAAGTGTATATTAATTGGTTTGTGTGACAGCAATAGCATCAACAACTGATGTTATACAGCATACAGTATACTGGAATTTACGCACCTATGATGCCATACTGGTAATAGCAGTGATCAGCGACTTATAGCGTGACTGTGATAGTGTGGTTGGAAATCTGGTGCTAACAGACCCTTGCTGGGAGGTATCCTAACTGACTCAGTAGTGACACTAATACAGATACAGTATAATGCTGTATACTGCCATTGTACTAATGACACTGGGGCGGAAGGGGTTAACATCAAGGTGCCATCAAGGGGTTAATGGTGCCTAACAAGTGTAATATGTGCTGCTTTTAATAAGAGATCTGGCAGTTTTTTCCCCTGCTTTTCAGGGAGAAGAAACAGCCAGGTTTGCTGATCTGTGTCCAGAGCCCTGTGTGTTGTGCTGTGATTGGCTACAGCTGATCAGCAGGTCTCATCCAAAAATCATTGTCTGGGACTTGCTGTCAAAATCCTGCTATAGCCAATGACAGCACGCATTAGAAGGGGGTGCGCTCATTCTTCTATGGCCAGCTTAAGGGATACTTTTACATTAAGAAGTTACCTATGTTCATCTTAGTTAAACATTAGGGGGGGGGGGGGGGGAACAAAAATTGTGAGCTGTGACCAGGACAGTAATGAAGGTAAAATTTCAAAATAGAGATACTTCTTCCAACGTCAACTGCAAAGGAGGGGGTTACATTTCTGTTGCTTTGTTGCAAGTGAAGGCAAATCTCCCCAATGGGACGTAGATGAAAATAAAAAAATGATAGACATTTATAAAATGCATAACATTTGTGGCTTTAGATGTATATCTTACCAAAGAGGAAATGACACTGTATTTGTTTTTTAAGTCAAGACAACAGTTTTGTTCAGCCAACAGCTTTTTCTTTCATTTCTGATTGCCCAACATTAGAATTATGGATTGAACAGAAGGATATACAGTCCCATTGTAGTCACCCTGGTGAGAATCATTCTATATTGGAGATGTTGAAGATGGTGTTGGGATGTGGAAGCTGAAGATTAGATCCAGGAATAGTCATAGTATCATTGTCTGGATGCTTGGACATTGCCTTGAATGTGGGAATGTTTGATCTTTGGTCTGTTTTTACAGATCCTAATGATCCAAAAGTTCATGTCTCAGCAGTGATGAAATACGAATGATATAGCAGATTGGTGTTAACAGAAATGGCAAACAGACAACTAACATAATTGCGGATGGCAAAAAAAATACATTTTAAAACTGCATAATGGTTATACATGAGTTCTCTGTCACATTCTGAAGAACATTTTTTGTTTTATTGAAAAAAGGGATGTCAATGTACAGAACATAGATATCAATCCATAGATACAATGTAGTAAGAGGTATCATATGATGTATATATTATGGATAGTACACAAGGTAAGTCATAGGTCTCATAGCTACCTGTACAAAATCGGAGTAAAGCAACATACAGAAAAGTATTCAGTAGGCTTTAAGACGTCAAGTATGGGAGGGCTTCTCATCAACCAGAATGTACATTACTATAAAGTAACCATCAGGGAACACCGCTTCAGGTTGGGGGGGGGTGGCGAAGAGTAAAGGACCAAGGAGGATAGGTTTCTGGGCTCTCACTCCTGGAAAATCAATCATCTATAACATGGGGCAGGGGAGGACTCTTCAAAAGGGTGTGCTTAGGGTGAAATTTATCAACTATGGCCAATCTCATCCTCCCATGTAGGAAATTTGCTAGGAGTAGGTTGAGGGCAGAGAGAACATAGGTGAGAAAAACAAAGGGAAGGGGGGGAAAGAAATGGGGGATAGGAGGCTAAGAAGGAGGGAGGAAGGAAAATGAGGGGGAAGGTAAGGAGTAGGCTGGTTATAAGAGTTAAGGGATGAATGGGACAGAAAGCAGGGCTGGTGGGGTTTTGCAGGATCTCTCCAACAGGGATACTCCCCCATCTAGGGTCTCTATCACAGATAGCAGATCTATTTAACTATTCGGAAGAACATTTATTACTCTTATTCAAAGAATTGGCAAACTTATGATACAATTCCCCAACACAGAGCCAAGAAAACATTGGAGCAGAAGACAAGGATGACTTCAGCCACTTGGTGGGAGATGTTGACCAACTTTTGACAGTAAAAGACTGACAAACAGCTGGTATTTCAGAAACATGTCAATCAAGGGCATGAATGTAAAACAAATTAAATGGTAAATAAGTGTCTATAGAAAGCAACCCAAGGAATCCTGTGTAATAAAGGATTCCTCCATAAGTTGTCAGACACTGGAGAAGACTTTTACTGAGTTCCTGACAACCACAATTGCATCATAGACCTTCAGGTTGGGGCTCCTGAAAAACCATGTTATAAAAACAATGATTTAAAAAAAAAAAAATAGATACATAAAAGATCATCTTCTACAGTGGAATTGTTCCTCTCCTTTTCCTTTAAATGTCATGTAAGATTGTGACATGTTACACCTATATTCAGGGTGTAACATGTGCAGTAACATGTCACAGATGCTCCCCTGCCCTGACACCTCATTTTGACAGCTAGCAGGGGATCTTCTCCACCTGCTCATTGTCACACTCTAAAAAAAACACATCTGGGAGGGCGGAGCATATCATTCATTCACAGTGTTCTGTGAATGTGGAAACTACAAGTACTGACAGACTTTGTGGCTGTTGGCTTGTAGTTCTCGATGAACTACCATGGCACTGCTGAGCGCTCATTGAGCTTCCTGTCAGAGTGTAATGGCCTGTCCATATTGGAGGTACGGGCAGACAGCTACACAGACGATCTGCAAGACAGTGGCATTACACCCACAATCTGCTAATCATGGGTGCAATGCTTTACAGGCTACTATAAAAAAAAAATAATAATACATGTGCATTTTTTTTACCTGCAAAAAGATGTGCATTTATTATTTTTTTTGTAAAGGTAAGCTTATCCTTTAGGACAAATCTTTGTCTAGGGAGAAAAACACACATATATAGAAAAGTAAAAGAAAAAAAAAATCAGTTTAGGAATGCAATTTAGCCTTGTATCAAATTATACCCCTGCTGCCTTTAGTTGTGTAAACTTTTTTTCTCTAACTGATTTTTACATGAATGTTTCTATTCATAAGCTAAATTATAAATGAAAAATAAAATAAAAATAACTAATATTTATTTTATTTTTCCTTAAACAAAGCATAAATGAATTTACCAGTTAACAATTATTTCTTATCTTTATGTACCTCAAGGATATTTTACTCTAGAATTTTGGAGACAATGTGGCATATAACATGGTACAAGACCACTGATTTATGGTGCCTGGGACTTCAGTCGTAGTATAATTAACATTACGTTTGTAATTTTGTTTAAATATTTGTCTGTCAAGCATATAGCTATTCCTATTACAAGTATTTAAATATCAATTTACGCAGATCTATGCATAGCTGCAGGATTACAAATTAACAAAAACATTTCGCTCAAAATCATTTTAGTACATTCATTTCAATGACTTGTTCCACACTTGCTCGAAACCCAGACCACAATCTGAAATTGGATTTATGATAAAACTAAAAACTTTTTATTGATTTTCCTTTTTTGGCTCAGTGGAAAAAGTCTTTCTTATTGCTTTATCTTCAGGTCATTGGTAGAGGGGTTTTAAACTCCGGATCAGATCCTTGACCAAATGGTGTAATTTATGTTGACTAATTATATATCTATTAAAAAGATAAAGATTTTTTGACTAACATAAAACCACTTATCA